CCCCCTGCCCCGCTGCCCCACTGCCCCGCTGCCCCGTCCGCCGTCTCTCTCTCCACCTGCATCACCGGGTGGCTGCGGCGCGTCCTGGGGCCGTCACAAAGCACCGCAAATGGGGTGCCTGCACCAGCAGACGCTTCTGGTCTCACAGTTCTGGGGATCTGGCATCGGGTACGGGCCTGTTCCCCGGGAAGCTGCTGGAGGGAACAGTCTGGCCACGCTCTGTGGCTCTTCTCCAGTTCACGCCGCCTTTCCTCTGCATGTCTGCTGCCGTTCACTTCCCGTTTTCGTAAAGACGCCAGTCACTGGAGTAGCCCCCACCCCCAAAACTACCTTGGCCTAACTGGTCATCTGCAAAGACCCTATTTCCAAGTCACGTCACATCCACAGGTGCAAGGCTTGGGCTTGGACCTGTGTGTGGGATGATTCAACCCTCAGCACCTGGCTACTTACTTCATGCCTTCTGAATCCGTTCCCTCCATTCTCCCTTCCGCCTGAGGCTCGGCCTTGTTTCGGCTCTGTGTTCCCGCCGTGTCTGCCTCTGAGCTGTCACCTGCTCTCTGGTAGGTGAACCCTCTGTGGCCCCCCTGTACCTGCACTGCACACCTGGACCTCTGTTTCTCAAGTAGCCCCAGCCCGGCCCTCGGTGGCCTAGCCCTCCTCCATGCTGCCCCTCCCTCTGGCCGGCACTGAGCTCAGGATGGGTCACTGGCTACACTCAGCGACCCCTCAGGTCCCTGGGCCAGCAGCATGTGGCCTTGCATTGTGGCCACTGGAGGGTGCCCACGCTATGTGGCACCTGCAGAGACCGGGTGTGTCTGAGAAGTGACCGCCCAGGCCCAGTGGCTGCAGCCCCTGACCCCAGGGGAGGTCAGAGTCCAGGTCAGGATCAGGATCAGGGTGAGGGACGCTGTGTTGTGGAGACCAGGGAAGAAATGGAATAAAGACCCCTGGTTAGGCGGACATTTGACTGCCAGGCGTGGCCTGCTGTCCAGCAGCCTCATGCGTGGACCCTTCCGGAGCACGCAGTGGTGCAGGCGCCCACATATGTTCTTCTGCAGAGGGAAACAGGCTCCACTGTCGCTGCTGCATCCACAGGGCCCATTGCGTGGAAGGGGTTGGAATCTGTGTAGCTGTTTAATCTGGAGAAATCTCTTCCCAGCAAAGTCCTGTGGCCCAGAGCGGCACGGGCTTGGCAGCACAGCAGGAAGTTCGCCAGCACTGAGTGGTGCTGTGCCTTCGGCCACACGTGTCAGCTTCGAGTCCCACGGGGATTGACAGGACGGCAGGACTTGGCCACGCCGGGCACCAGGAGCAGGGGCTGTGGCTTGCTCTGCGCCCCCTCGCTTCCAGCCTGCAGAACTGGGCGGGGAAAGGTTAACAAAGGGCGCAGGGCGTGTGTCCTGGGCTGGCGCGGCTGCACTGTTTATTTACAAAATACAGATTGTTGCTAGGGGAGGTTCCGGCGTAGCTGCGGTGCTCATGACAGCTTGAGCCCAAAACTTCCAGAGGGCAGGCAGTTTGCATGATGAAAGGGAGACGTTCACGCTGCTTCTTTTGCTTCTGATCGCTCACTGGAACATAAAACACTACCGGGATAAAATTAAATGTGAAAGTAAAGGCAGAGAAAGTTGAGAACAGGGTGCCTGTGTCACCTCTGTCCCGGGCTCCCCGCCAGCTCAGGGAGGGTTACCCAGGTGGGTGAAGGGCAGTGGCTAGCTAGGTCAGCCTGGGCAAAACGTGGCCAACTTAAGGTCACCAGCATCATTCCTGTGGGTGACGGGTGTCCCGGGAGGACGACCCAAGCTCACACGCAGAGCGTGGACCTCACTGGCCAACGCGCAGCTGAGGAACAGCGGAGCACCACAGCGTGCGGTGAAAGATCTGCTTCAACCCGGTTCTCGTGCAAAAAGCTTTGTGTCCCAGGGAACTGTCTGGGGGAGTCGCTGCCCCAGAATCTCAAGGGGTCCGCTGGCAGCTGAATGCTTTTGTCCCTGGGCAGATGCCTTCAGGGCGGCTCCCTGGCCCCGGCGCCTCCAGGTTTGGGAACCGGCTCGGGGACGGGCTCGGACAGCTCCTCAGGGTTTGCCTGGCAGGGTCAGGCTCAGGACAGCCCTGAGCTCCTCCACATGGAGGTCACCGGGTCCTGGTTAGGGCCACTCTGTCCCCAGGCTGTCTGCTGGTGGTCCCCTGCACCATCTCCCTGGCAGTGGGCTTGTGTGTGTGATGCCTGGAGGGGTGAGGCTGCTGCTGAGGGCCTGGGTGGGTCTCAGCCTGAGCTTCACCTGCTGCCCAGGCAGAGGCCCCGCCTGGCCCCACCCTCCCCGCCTGCCGGTTTCCAGTGAAGGAAGTGCTGCTCCAGCTCTGCAGAGGAAGGGGCTGCCCCCCGGCCACTGCACAGCTTCCTGCCTCGTCTCATTGTCCTCAGCTGCCACCCACTAGCCTCCCAAGGCTCTGGATGTGCTCCCCGTTGCCCCAGCAACCACACAAACAGTGCTGCGTCCCCGGCTCAGCATGCAGGGAGCGGGTGCAGGAGACAGCGGCCAGGAGGCAGGCTTGGTCACGTCGCTGTCACCAGCTGCAGTGAGCCCTGTGCCTGGCCCCGCTGACCTACACCCTTGACGGCCCCTGCAGCCTCACTCCCCAGCCAGGCGGGCCCACTGCAGCCCTCTCCTCTAGCATGCTGGGATCAGAGTGGCCACTGCAGGCGTCCGATCAGTCCTGGCCCCATGTGAGTCCCCCAAGGCCTGGCTGGCCCCCCGTGCCACCGTCCAGCTCCGCCTCGCCCCAGCCTGGGCAGCAGCTCCCCAGTCCCATCCTTTTGACATCCAGATTGTCCTTGTCTGTCTTCCTTGTGGCCAAGTCTGCGCCCTCGGAGCTTCATCCCCAACTCATGTCCGCAAGCACTGGGGCCTGGGGCCACATGGGTGCCTGGAAGATGCAGGGTGTGCGGCCCGCCCGCCGAGGCCTTCGGCACCTGTGTTTGGGTTTTAGTCGGAAGCAGCTTCACCCTTAGGTTTCCTGGACATTGCAGCATATTTCTTACGGGACCCTTGTCAGGGAAGGGCCACTGCACAGAAACCCCAGCCCCTCGCCCCAAGGTGGTTCCAGGAATAGGCTGAGTGTGATCCCAGCACGTGGAGCTGTCCAGAGAGGGGCTGGGTTGGGAGGGATGGAGCCCCTGGCCTGGCACAGGACCCACCCTGCTGACAGCCTTCCTTCTACTGAAATCCCTGCAGGGTCTTGTGCCCCTGGTGCCAAGGAGGACAGCACTGTGTCCCGAGGGCAGGTGGCCTGCATCTCTATGCCAAACTCAGGCCACACTGTGAGGGCTGCTGAGTCGCCCTGCGGAGCTGTCCGTCAACTCTGAACTCCTGGCTGGAAGGCAGCCCAGGGGCCAGGCAGGGTGATGGGAGGCCCCGTGCTCCACCCCATCTGTTTGGTTGCCATGGGGAGGCTGTGTTGGTCCCAGGGCAAGAGGAGGAGAAAGCCAGGCTCTGAGGGTGGGAGCGGACGTCCCAGTCATGGGAGCCAGCTTCTGCTGGCACCAGGGGACAAAGGCGCTCTCCCCAGGGCCCCTGCAGCCAGGCTCCGAGCCACGGGGCCCAAGATAGAGGCCCAGGGTCCCTGAGTGAGTTATCTGGGGTCCTTGAAAGAGTCTGGGGGGTCCCTAAGAGAGTCTGGGGGTTCCTGAGCAGGTTGGGGGTCCCTTAGCAAGTCTGGAGCCGCTGAAAGAGTCTGGGGGCCCTGAGTCTGGGTCCCTGATGAGTCTTCAAGGGGCCTTAAGTGAGCAATCAGGTCTAGAGGGAGTCTGGGGGGTTTCACCGAGTGAGCCGTCTGGGGTCTAGGGGGAGTCTGGGGGGTCCCTGAGCGAGCCATCTGGGGTCTAGAGGGAGTCTGGGGGGCTCCCTGAGCTAGACGTCTGGGGTCTAGAGGGAGTCAGGGGGGTCCCTTAGTGAGCCATCTGGGGTCCTGAGGGAGTCTGTGGGGGTCCCTGAGTGAGCCATCTGGGGTCCTGAGGGAGTCTGGGGGTGTCCCTGAGTGAGCCGTCTGGGGTCTAGAGGGAGTGGGTAGGTTGTGCAGCTACCTTCCTCCTCTCCCTGCTCCTGCTGAGTCTGTGCTTCTCTTCCGGTGCTTGCTTCCCCAGGGCTGTAGGGGCTGCACCTGGCCATGTTTACACCTGGGCATCCCTCCTGCAGTCCTGCTCTGTCCCTCAGGTGTAAAGGGTTTTGAGGTCACTGTGCTTGGCTGGCCTGGCTGAGCCTCAGGGGGTACAGAGCCTTCTGTGGGGAATTTGCCTGTGTCCAACAGGATAAACCAAAAGGGTTGTGGGGGCAGCCATCCTGGTCCCCACCCCTGCTGGGCACAGGGCTGTGTGTGCAACGCTGTTGGGCAGCCTCACCTCCTCTGGGCCTGGGGGGAGCAGAGCCAGGTGAGCAGGGCTGTGGGAACAGAGCCAGGTGAACAGGGCTGTGGGTACAGGGCCAGGTCTGCAGGGCCAGGTGTGCAGGGATGTGTGTACAGGGCTGGGTAAGCAGGGCTGAGTGAGCCGGGCTCAGGTGAGCAGGGAAGGTGTGCAGGGCCGGGTGTGCAGGTCTGAGGTGAGCAGGGCTGGTGGGCTCAGGTGAGCAGGGAGTGCAGGGCTCAGGTGTGCAGGGCTCGGGTGAGCAGAGCCAGGTGAGCAGGGCTGGGTGTGCAGGGCTGGGTGTGCAGGGCCCGGGTGAGCAGGGCCCGGGTGTGCAGGGCTGGGTGTGCAGGGCTGGGTGTGCAGGGCCCGGGTGAGCAGGGCTGGGTGTGCAGGGCTGGGTGTGCAGGGCCCGGGTGAGCAGGGCTGGGTGTGCAGGGCTGGGTGTGCAGGGCCCGGGTATGCAGGGCTCAGGTGAGCAGGGCTGTGTGTGCAGGGCTGGGTATGCAGGGCT